AAACCCCAAATAAATGAGAATCGGACCACAAACGGTCAATTTTATTTTAATGGATAACCGTATAATAGTATGTCATATAGATTTCTGATTTGTAAATAAAAAATCCGGAGGTATCAATACTACAATTTAGTCCAAGAATGCTATCTTCTTTGAAAATATTTTTCCTCTTAAGAAAAAATCAGAAATAACAAATTGACGTATGAAACTTCGGATGGCATTGAAAAAAAAATGAAGAATCGAGTGCGGTAAAAGGATAAAAACACGACCGATTTTCACTAAGAAAATTATGTCCACCATGGACAACCTTGGAAAGAATATATAATCCGCAAAATCGTTTATATAACTTTTATTTCTCCCAATAATATGATGTAAATTTGAATATAAGATAATATATTACGTCAAACATTTTTATTTGAAATTACTGTTGATTATAAATGTATATAAACCATTTTCGTAAATTAACATAAAACAATTTAATTGTTATCTCTGTATTATATGAGATAATACATGTACTCACAATCATGAAACTGTCTGAAATTACTGTTGATAATAAAATATTTTTTATCCACCCATAAGGTCCAGGAAAGAACATCTCAAGATCATAAATCCATAGATAACCTTCCGAGTCCTGAAGGAACACTTTATCATTCTTGTACAGCCCGACGACCCTATTACAAACAGCAGGAGTAGGAGGAAAGAGAAAGACTTCGTGTGTGGATATATGGGACCAGATGCCCTTCTTCCATACCCAAATCTCGAAAATAAAAGGCCCACTTTTCTTCTTCGTCTTCATCGTCTTCTTCTGCTGCTGTCCATGATAATCGAAACCAACAGCAGCAAGCAGTCCGTGAAACTCGGCAATACAAACACAACCACGATTGATGTCCCAGAGAATTTCGGTACTGGGCGGCATAGGGATGAGAGCAAGGGGAAACTCCTCCTTAGCAAAGTCGAACGAAATAATAGCAACTTCTTCTTTGGTGGAATGCCAAAGCCTCGATGAAAAGCGACGGGTATTGATAGACTTCCCACCCGAGATCGTGTGGATACGGAATTTCCTTCCAAGTTTCATGCGAAAACACCTCCGCGTGGGCTTCGTTGTCGAAACGGAAATACTCAAACATGCGACATCTCACCACCTTATAGTCAGCAGGGGCACAACCACACGCAGGCAAAAGACGGGCAAGGCAAGCGAGGCAGAGACTCGAAAAAGGGAAGGGTTACGAGCACGTCAGTCCTCGGGTCCCACAGAAGCACATCCGGCTCCGAGGGAATTTCGCCATCTGTCCACAGCATCCACGTGTCGCAACTCGCTTGGACGTGATACTTGGCATTCAGACAATCGAGATCGTAGTTTTCAGCTCTGAGTCGAGACAAGTTTGGAAGAAGGTGATTATCATCATCATCATCTTGTAGCAGCAATTTAAACGAGTTGTTTTCCGTCGTGATTACAGAGTAAGTGCGGGTCAAGTCGAGTACACAATGCACCATAAGCATCAGACTGTCGTTAGGTTTCGAACCGCGAGTAAGCTCCCGAATAGTAGCAGGAACAGGAACACCATCGACGACATGAGTACAAGTGGCGTTGCCAGACGAGAGATTTTTCGAGAAGGATTTGAAGCTTGATTCGGAATTCGCAACATAAGGGAAGACCTCCGTCAGACCCGTACCCTCGTCACGGATACCGAGATTCTCCAATCGGGCAGTCTCAAGGTCGTAAACCAATAGGTCGCCATAGGAGCCCTCGAGAAGAAGTTTACGGTTCTTGTAGAGGCCCAATACTCTATAAACATAAGCATCCGAAGCAGGGATTTCCCCTGTGAACACGCAAGACCACGTGGAAGCTTCTTTCCACACCCAAATCTCGAAAGCAAAAAGTACAGCAGATGGAGGATTAATATTTTTTTTTCCTCAGTCTTTCACCATACTCGAAAACAACAGCAGCAAGCGACGAATCAAACTCAACAAGAGGAACATTGCCATTGGCTAAAAGGGCAGTGGGTAGGTTATTGCTCTTGGGCTTGGGGATTAGATCAGGGCAAAACCTCTCCTCAGCAAAGTCGAACGAAAGAATGCCAAACACAGTTGGCCAATAATAAAAGCCATTGATGTAAAGAGAATGTTCTTGTTGGGGTTCGCTTCCCTGAATCACTCGAGGACATGGGATTCGCTTCCCCGAATTGCTTACGGACGACAACAGCTCAACATAAAGCTCCTCATCGGCAGTATATCTGTCCATATATATCACGAGCTCTCAACACCTTATAGGTGTCCCCTGCAGGATCAAACATGAGCCCATAAGCCCAATGGTCCGAATAAGTTGGGCAAGCCAAAGAAAAATGCGGAAGACCTATCGTCTTGCCGGTTGTGGGGTTCCACAGAAAGTCATATGGATTATCCCAGCATGTCAACAGCATCCATGAGTTGCAAGTTCCATGAATACTATAAAAGGTGTTGTTGGTAGTGCGATCGTGGTAATCGTCTTTGAGTAGATTCAGGAATTTGGGAAAATCATCGTCGTCATCATCTTGTCGCAGCACTTTGAAGTCGTTGTTATGGGTTGAAATTACTGAACAATCGAGGGTTCCATCGTCGTTTAAATGCCGCACCAAAATCATCAAATTGTCGTCGTTGCTATTTGGCTGAGGTTTGTCGGGAATTAGGTGCGTGGTGGAGTTTGAGACGATTCCGATATCTGCCATTGCCAAACAATCCTCAACTACTTTGGACTAGTCCTACATTAAATCAATCAATCCCTGTTTTGCAAAATCTTTCTCAAATTTAGGCACAGGTTGTTGTAAAGAAAGAAGTTCAAATAGCCAAAGATTTCGCCATCAAATTCCGCCTACAGCTCTGAGCGAAGATCTAATAAGAAAACTAATGATTATTTCAATATAAAAATAATTTGATAATAACTAAATTTAATATGATATTAAGTAATATTTTTAATATTTTTTCAAATAATAAATTTAACACGATCCATTAAAATTATAGAATTTACATTATTAATTACATTTTTATATAATTAATATAGTGATTTTTATGTAAGTAAAATAAGTTATAATAAATTTTGGCTGACTTCTCAACTCTCCCTTACTTATGGGTTTGTAAACACCAATTATATTCTTCTTTCATTTAATCATATTCAAACCTTTTATTTCTCGCTCTCTTCTTTAGTTCTGAGTTTAATTTGTCATCAAAATTTGTTGGGTTCGCAAAAAATATCGGTTAATTGTTCGCTAATTGATTCCTAAGAATTTAATTCTAAGCAAAACGGATCTAAAGTTTTAGGATCAAGATCTTACTTTTGTGTTATTGCGGACTCAAAGATGACTTACACGGCCTATGGGACTGGACGAACGGTTCTGCCTTTCAACCTTTAAGCCTTATGTGGTCGGGCGTTATGTGGACGATCTCCCTAGCTCGTGTGGTCGACTCTCCCTCTGATCTTGCTCACATGAATCTCACGGCCCTCTCTCTCTTGAATGTGGCGAGTGATTTCAAGTTGCCTAGCTAGAGAATGAGACCTCCACATGATGTATTTATAAGTTACATCAAGGACCTTAAGGAGGATAGGAAAAGGTATCCCAATAGGAAAATGAATACTTGGGTTTTAGTCCACCCTATTCTTTAGTCCATTAATAACAATCATTCCACTAAAAATTTATTATTGTACTACATTTCTCAAACCCAAATTACTTGCTCACTATACTCAATTTATCTCTGTGTTTAAGATATCAAACGTCCATTAATTAATTTCATTAGACAATTTAATTAACTAACTTATTATATCCAAAGTTAGTGCCACTAAAATTTATATTTTATAAGTAACCGATAATATGGTCTTCTGTTCAACACGATTACCATATTATATACAATGCAAAATAATAGAACAATTTGAATAACAAAATGCAAATACTTTTTACTAATTTCGATTATCATTTTTTATCAGCTAATCAGTTATCAACAGAAAACATCCTAACTCAAAAAAAAAAATGATACTAAACACCAAGCTATGTTTCATCATGTGTGAGTGAGGCATGTTGTTTACTAGTGTGCTGTTAATAATGTCTGTCATAGACATCCGCTTGTATTAAACGAACTGAAATCAAAATATAAGAGACTTATGTTTGAGAAAATAGGATCACTCTCAAACATAAGGAAAGATTGTCATAGTCAAACTATCGTCACAGATGCCGAGATTCTCCAGCTTGCGCGTATTTGAATAATAGCAACATCTTCATTGCTAATTACCTGTCGACTCATCGTGAACATTGGAAAGAAACTTTTCCTTTTTTATTCTCTCGAGCTAAATATTAATATCGAACTCTACTCATTGTTCGATTCTCTTTCTACGTATTTCCCCAATCATTGTGCAGTCATAAAATTATATCCTAATATTATTATATATTTTGTCAACAAGTCTTGAATTAGAACCTTCGAAGCAACAATTGTCCTGCAAAGCAATTGGGCCAAAATAAATATAAAAAAGACAAAAAACTAAAATTGATAAAATAAGATTGTATGAGACAAAATAGATACAATCCTACAATTATGAACTCAAAGTGAAATATATGATTTTCGATCATGGACTTTTTTTCCTTGTGATTTTCAAGTTTTACAAATCAAGATTAAGACTGCAAACGAATCTAGCGACTCGTGAGCCACTCGCAAGAGCTCGAGTCAAAAGCTTGAGTTCGACTGAACTTGAGCCAAGCTCAAGCGGCTCGAGCATGTTATCGAGTCGATCTCGAATATAGGTTTTGGAAGCTCAAGCCACTCCGAGATAATACTAAAATACCGCTTATACATAAATATTACAATATTTTATATATATACTAATGATAATTTTATTTGAAATTTGAGTCGAACTGAGCTTGAGCAATCTTTCGAGCATTTTAATTTCAATCAAGCTCGAGCGATTATCTCTAGCCGCAAAAAACATGTTCACTTTACGAGATATCACACTAACTTCAACATGTAGATTGGATGGATCACTCTCAAACATAAGGGAAGATCGTCAGAGACGAACAATCGTCACGGATGCCGAGGTTCTCCAGATCGCGCGTCTCAACATCGTAAAGCCATAGGTAACCCTCAGAGTCCCAAAGAAACACTTTAACATTCTTGTAGAGGCCGATGACCCCCCTATAAACAACACGAGTAAGAGTAAGAGGGACTTTGTAAGTGGATACGTGGGACCACACGCCGTGCTTCCATACCCAAATCTCGAATGTAAAAGGCACATTGTTCTCCTTCTTCTTCATCTCCTGTCCTGGATAACAATAAATATTCTTCATACTTTTCTTCGCCTGTCCATGAAAATCATAAACAATAGCAGCAAGCGACCCACAAAACTCGGCAAGACACACACAACCGAGCTTGATGTCCCTGAGAATTTTGCTACAGGGCATAGGGATGAGAGCAAGGGGAAACTCCTCCTTAGCAAAGTCGAACGAGATAATAGCATGATTTCCTTGGGTGTAATGATGTGCTATCCAATAATAAAAGCCGTCAACGAAAAGTGACGGGGACTGATAGACTTGCCACAGAGGATCGTGAGGATACGGAATTTTCTTCCAAGTTTCATGCGAAAAAACCTCAGCGTGGGCTTCGTCGTTGGAACGAAAATACTTGAACGAGCGACATCTCACCACCTTATAGTTCTCTGGTGCATAAGGATCAAAGCCGATACCGTAACCCCACATGTACGCAGAAATTAAGCCAGGCATGCGCGGCTCCACATCAAAAAAAGGAAGGGTTACAAGCACGTCGGTCCTAGGGTCCCACAGGAGGGGCTTCAGATCTGCGGGATTTTCTGTATTATTCCACAGCATCCATGTGTCGCAACTCGCTAGGACGTGATATTTGGCATTCATACAGAACAGATTGTAGTTTTCAGCTCTGAGTCGAGACAAGTTGGGAAGAAGACCATTATCATCACCATGACCTTGATGCAGCACTTTGAACGAGTTGTTTTCCGTTGAGATTACAAAGTAATCGCGGGTCGAGTCGAGTACGCGTTGCACCAAAAGCATAAGACTGTCGCTAGGTTTCAAACAGCGAGTAAGCGCCCGAATACTAGTAGCAGAGGAATTCCTTGAGGAGGATTTGAAGCTGGATTTGGCATTGGGAACAAAAGAAAAGACTTCTGGGGCCATACCCTCGTCACGGATACCGAGATTATTCTCCAGTCGGCGCTCCTCAATGTCATAAACCAGTAGATCACCGCAGGAGCTCATAAGAAGCAGTTTACGGTTCTTGCAGAGTCCCAATACTCCTTCAACAGAAGCATCTGAAGCCGGGATTTCCCCTGTGAACACGCTAGACCACATGGAAGCTTCTTTCCACTCCCAAATCTCGAAAATGAAAGGCTTCTTTTCAGCAGCAGCACCAATTGTTACATCTCTTTTGAGGAGCTTATCGGTCAGCCATCGAGGATACTCGAAAACGACAGCAGCAAGTGACTCATGATACTCAACAACACAATACCTGCCATCGCTCTTGGGCATGGGGATTAGAGCAGTGCCAAACCTCTCCTCAGTAAAGTCGAACGAAAGAATGCCTCTCGTAGTTGGCCAATAATAAAAGCCATTAATGAAAAGAGAAGGTCGTTGATCGGGTGCAATAAAGGGGTCATGAGGACACGAAATTTGCTTCCACGACCATGAATCACCTGCAGATGCAGACGAGGACAACAGCTCAACGTAGAGCTTTTCACAGGGTTCATGTGTGTCGGTCGAGCGACATCTCAACACCTTATAGGTGTCCCCTGCAGGATCGAACCCCAGCCCGTAAGCCCAATGGTCCGACAAAGTTGGGCAAGCCAAAGCAAAATACGGAAGACATTTCCACTCGCCGGTTGTGGGGTTCAACAGAAAGTCATATGAAAATCCCAGATGCCAATATGTCATCAGCATCCATGAGTTGCAAGTCGCATGAACACGATAACAGGTGTTACCGATCAAAGCATCGTAGTTATCGGCTTTGAGTCGAGACAAGTTTCGAAGAATACCGATATCATCGTCATCATCTTGTCCCAGCACTTTGAAGGAGTTGTTTTGGAGTGAGATTACTGAACAATCGAGGAAGGTTCCGTGGCGTACGTGCCGCACCACAAGCATCAAATTGTCGTTGTTGCTATGTTGCCGATCTTTACCTGCCATTGCCAACAACCAACAGCCGAAGATCTCCCCGTTAAAATAATAATTATAACTTTAGACACTTCAAGATTTCCAATCCTCAACTACTTTGAACTCCAATATTAAATCAATCAATCGAGGAGAAGTGTTTTGCAAAATCTTTCTCAAATTTAGCCACAGGTTGTTATGTATAACGAAAAGACATTCAAATAGCCAAAGATTTCGCCCCGAATTATTTAGCAGTCGGTCGCAAGAGGCAGAGGATTGTGCTCAATTTGGACTTTGGGAGTAGGGTTTCGGAGTTATTGAGGACGTGTTGGTGTATCGTATGTTGGAAAATTAGATGTAAAAAATTTGGGTTTCATCGGATTATAATTAAGTTTTTTTATTGTTAGTATATTGAAAGATCAGTTATAAAAAATTTGGGTTTCATCTGATTTTAAGTATTTTTTAGAAATTTAATTCGAGTTGAATTAAATTATGTAGAAAAATTATACTTGAGTCCTCTATATTTATTTTTTCCAAACTGAGTTTTACTGAGTGATAAATAAATAATTAAAGTTAATTATTAATAAGCATATAAAATAGTGATCGTGAAATTCGAAGGGTCAAATGCTCACGTCTATCAGTCCTGGACCTTGTAGTTGGCCCCTCGGTTACTTTAAGAGTTAAACTGCGAGATGTATCATGTTGTCAGCCGTAAGATCCCATTTTATACCTTAGCGTCTCAAAAGGATATTAACTTTTTTTATTGTAATAAATGGAGTTTGAGAGGTCACAACAAAATTATGCATCAAGTTTTGGTGATAATTTGGCCACACGCGAGCGAGTCCTTCTGCCGGCCAGCCAGCTCGGGCACGGGTCTGAGCCTTGGTCTCTCTCTCTCTCTCTCTCTCTCTCTCTCTCTCTCTCTCTCTCTCTCTCTCTCTCTCTCTCTCTCTCTCTCTCTCTCTCTCTCCTTATGGTTGCTTTGTTGAAATTATTAAGTAGCTAAGCTATTATTATTTTTGTAAATTATAACTCATGAATTATAGATTTTTTTGTCATTTCTCTATTTTATCGACTAACAAATAACCCAATCGATCCAATCGTTTGAATTTCAGTTTGGAACTGAACCAAGCCATAAATTTTGGTTCAGTTTTCGATTTTTAGTTTGGATAAACCAAAATTTTGATTAATCAAAAATTCGGTTAGTTCGATTCGGTTTCAACCAATTGAACAACCCTATTATGTTATGGTTCTTAAATAAAGATAGAGAAAAAAAATGTTGAACATATGTTTTTTTTCTGGTGTGTTTTTTACAAATCAATAGACATTAGTTACAGATAGAAGAATAATGTTACTTTTAACAAAATATTGGCACAAAAGTATAATTGACATGGACGAATAAGGACTGTTGGTATAAAACCACAATACTAATAATTAATAAATAAATAAATGTGATATATATATATATATGCTTGCACATAATTCAATAGGTTTTTCTATAGAATCACTCGATTGTTTTCCTTACTGAGCTATTCGCCTGCGTGGCTCTTACATGGTGTGAACATGTGTATTAAACTACAGTACACGTGTTATTTATTTTTATTTTACATTGGTAAATAAAATAAAAATAAAATAGAAAAGAAAGGAATGAATTCACATCAAACTCCGTAGTCCCTAATTAAAATCCTTGAATTCGACGGATAATATTAATGGGGTAAAATCAGTTGGCAGCCATTTGCGGTGGACGAGGCGGAGACCACGGCCTGGCCTACCAAGAAGCCTCGCTACCCAGAATGGCGACACACGGGGAATGTGGTCGATCTTTGGCGGAAGATCCCACGCCGATTGGGAGGCGGTGCTGGGAGAGATTGCGTGCGACTGGGCCTGATCATTGCGAGCGAGTTTGAGGGTTGATCGGAAGGGTGTTGTTGTTTGTCTCTGGGTTCATTTTCCTGTTCCGTCACCAAAAGCGGAAGGTGAAAGCCAACGGGGTGCCGTCCACTTCAACTGATAATCTAAATTTAAATTTTCAAAAAATCCTTGTATGAAGATTATGTTGATCAAATAATTCAAACACTGATTTCATGGAGGTTATGTGTCACCCACGTAAGAGCCACGCAAGCAGATGGCTCCGAAAGAAAAACAATCGAATGACTCTATAGAAAAATCGATCAATTAGAATTTTCAGTTTTGCTATAGAGCCACTCCATTATTTTTAACACACGTGTTTGTGCCACGTAAGAGTCACGCAAGCGAATGGATCCATAAGAAAAAGTGAAAAGCGATCGAGTGTCTCCATAGAAAAACCGACTTATTAATTACTAACAATGAACAAAACTTAGAGAAAATAAAAAGAGAGAAAAAAAATTGTTGGTGCGACCAGTAATTCTAATATATTTATTTTATATATTTATTGGTAATAATAAAATCATTTACACTAATGTGTATATTGGTAATGTGCACCACCACTACTAAATCTACATGTCCGTACCCAATGGGGGATGACAGTTCGTGGTGGAGTCTCGGTTTACCTACTAAATCTGCATGTTCGTACCCAACGCGGAATAACAGTTCGTG